AAAAGACAGTGCTGATGAAAATGGGTCATGACCTCCAGTATTTTAAACAACTTTTATAGAACAACTTAATGCTATTACTTCTTTCCAGAATTGTCCCAAGATTTCCTTGTTACCACCATAATCTCAAATATTAATGCCTGTCAGAACTAATATAATTTTTTCTAATTAGTTTTTTTTTGCTCCCTAATTACCTTTCTTGTAAAGTTAATTTGTTAAAATATTTTTTATTTTAATTATGCCTTTCTAATTGTTTCTAGGCAACTTTCCAAATGAGATTCAAGGCTATTTATAATCTAGTTCCCATATGAGTGTCTCCTGAACAAAATTCTACCACAATCTAATAAACATCTGAACCTAATATAAACATTCTCACTTATGTTCAAAACCCATGATTTAATAGAAAAAAACACATTTATCTTTCTGGTTCTCAATACTTGTTATTAAATTTCAATGGTAATTCTTTTATTTAAGCACTAACATTTATCATGTGCTTCTTGGCTAATTATTATTATTATTATTACTACTATTATTATTATTGTCAGGTCTCTGAGATGGCTTGGAACTGACAGAGCTCTGCTTTCCTCTGCCTCTGAGTACTGGGATTAAAGGTCTGTGTCCCCAAACCAGTCAAGTATTATTTCAGTGTATCTTTTTATAATTGTCAGCTATTTCATTAGCTTCCTTAATATAGGAGTAACATTTAAGCTCCTATTTTTCTTGAATTGTTTGGGTGTTGTAGAGGCTCATGGCTGCTCTTGGTCTGGCCATCGATAAAAAGGACTTGAAATTTTAGATGGCTTGTCAATAACTATCTTATCGCTCGGAGGCCCTAGTAAGACCTCCCACATTCTGTGGGACTCGGTGTCAGTCCCAGACTTCCTGTCCAGGGAGAGCTTACAGGGGAGGCATCCTCTGACCGATGTCCTGGGACCCAAATCCTCTTGGAGTCTGACAAGGTATGGAATGACTGTCATGCTCTGACACCAAACAGAGTCCTGAAACTCTTGGGAGGTTGGTCTGTATACTGAATTCTGTTCAGAGTCTGCTTAAGGAGAATGGGTCCCTTGAAAAGCCTTCTAATTAAGAAAGGCAGGTCCTTTCTGTTGACTCTACATCTTCTGGATAAAAAGGATAGTTGACACTCCCTTTCTGGCTTGGGAAGAAAATTCCAGTAGGAAATTCTTCCCCAGTTCTCCCATGCTAAGTCGGGATATCAATAATGGGGACCCTGTATCCAGGTTTTGTCTCTTTTGAGAGGTATGTCTTCAGCATTGCTTGGAGGAATGGTCAGGCAACTGTGTGAATGAATGACTGAATATACAAGGGGAAGATTGGCTCAGGAAGTTATCTGCTTTCTTGATATTGATGCTGGCATTCTGTCTCATCTCCCTGAAGTGGGGCTGGGCTGGCTAACTTGATTAAAATCCTGACAGTTTCTCAGGATTCTGACAGTAGGTGATTCCCTCTGTATGCTGTTTGTCTTCTGTATGAAAAAAAAAATCTCCTTTTCTCTGTAGGATCGGTAATTTTCAATCATACCAATCGACGCTTAGAGCTACACTTCCCTGCTCTCTTACCCAGTGCCTCTCCTGCTTAGGGGTCAGCAGTGAGAGGCTCTCTGGAATTGGAGTCTCCAGACTGGGCCTGCTTCACCTGGCAGGGTCCTCTGGGACCCTGCCCTGGGTCTGAGCCTGGAAGTGGACACCCTCCCTGGAACCTTATGTGCAGACAGTGGCTGGTCTGTTTTACTCTTTGTTGTTACTGGCTATAGCTTTTCCAGAGGCACTAGTTCTTCCTGGGCAGGCAGCAACAACTCAGAGGAAGAGTGTTTATTTATTTATTTATTTGTTTATTTATGAAGTGTTCTGCCATGCCAGTGCAACAGAAGAGGGCACCAGATCTCACCATAGATGGTTATGAGCCACCATGTGGTTGCTGGGAATTGAACTCAGGACCTCTAGAGGAATTGCCAGTGTTCTTAACCTCTGAGCCATCTCTCCAGCCCCGAGTATCATCCTTTCCTATGTTCTTTCCTCTATTTCAAATCTCTGTAACTGGACCATCCAGACCCATCTTTTTTGTGGTAAGCCCCAAGACCCAACTGCTTTCTTGGAATTTGTACTCTACAACTGGGGATTGTCAGTGACTCCTTTTGACTCTTTTTTACTTCAGATAAAAGGGGACATACTGGGGCAGAGGCAAGCTAGGCCTTTTTGGCCTTTTGAGGTAGCTTTCTTATCCAAGTACTGTGATTGGTGCCCATATGTGTACTCAGGTTCCCAGGCTCACCTGTGTCTTATGACTGGTATTTAGGGTGCAGATAAAAAATCCACAGATCTGTCTAATACTACAGAGGTTCTTCAGAACCTAAAAGTCTTGTGTTTTTTTTTTTTTGTTTTTTTTTTTTCAGAATTATTACAAAGAAAAAAAAGTTTCAGAATTTACACCCACTTTTGATCCCTTTAATCTGGAAAATGTTAATGGCTTTAAATTTGGCTTTTGTCACTCAATCAGCTCTAGACATTAAAAAAAAATATATGTCAAAAACTAGAGGGCTTTGTAATGTTGACTACCTCTCAAGTCATCAAATAGGGCCAAAAGAAACAGAATAATGGAGACACTGAAAGGCAGAGGCAAGCTGCCTTGGCTGCAGATGGAGCCACAAGCCAGCAGTCTTTGCCTGCTGGCTGCTTTCCAGTCAGTTTGGGTCCTTACTGCTTGTACTGCTCATGTCCAGTGGAGAGATCCTCAAAAATAAAAAATAAAAAAAAAATGAGGCCAGTTACCAATAAAAAGATTCAGTAAAGGCGCCACTGGCAAAATTAAGTACTATCACTTCACACTGAAAAAATAGAACCAAACATCAAATAAACAAACAAAGTTTGGGCCAGAAACAGGTGACTAACTCCTTCCTGGTGGTCTCTGATTGCCCTTTTCCTCTTCTGCAGAGAAATCTTTGAAAGCTAGGCACCACCATCATCTTTACACCTCAAGAAATTAAAATTTCTTTTATGCTTCCCTACCAACTTAGCTTAACTGCATCTTTGACTAAAGAATGTATTTTCGCTCTCTCGCAGACTTCACAATGCAAACAAATCCAGACCCAGGGACCCTGCTCCAGGACTTGCAACATTGTTTCCTAAGGTATAGACGGAGGTATCCTTGGGTATCCTGCCTTGGGACCTCAACCATCAACCAAATGAGGTTAAGTCTTTTGGCTACAGCAACATGGATACCAACTTCTTATATCGAGGCTATTATTATAAATTAACATCCTTACCCCATGCCAGTTGGCTGGAATCTGTCTTTTCTACCTGTCCATAAACCAGGGACCTCAGATTGTCAGCCACTCCAGGATCCCTGGGAGGTAAATGAATGGATTGAAACAACTCATCCTATTGTTACAAATCTGTACACTTTTCTTAGTCTCCTCCCAACAAATCACCAGGTCTATACATTATTCTGGACGTTAGAGATACTTTCTTCTCCATTCCCCTGGCACCAGTTAGCCAAACCCTTATTTGCTTTGGGATAGACTAATCCTGTGTCCAATTAGAGTAGCCAGCTAACCTGGACTTGAGTTCCCCAAGTGTTAAAAAAACAAAAACAAAAACAAAAAAAAACAACACTAAAATATCTAGACTATTGACATGTTGTATCTAAAACAATTACTATGTTCTTCCAGAAATAAACATTTCAAGGTTACTTTGACCCTCATCTAACTTTATGTAAATTGTAGTCTCAGTAGGTTTTGCGTTTAAAAATTCTGTACCCCTAAATTCAAGCACCAAGAGACTTTTCATAGAACAAGACCGCTCTTGGTCTGGCCATCAATAAAAAGGACCTAAAACCTTTAATATGCTTAATTGGCATGATTAACAGTAACTATCATTCGTGGATTATTTCACGAGTCCAGAGTCCCAGACAACTGTTCTAGGCACACAGCAATTTAATTCACAAGACAGGAAATTATTTGTATAATAATCCAGTTTTATGTGTGGTTGCGTATGTACTCCTCCAAGTGTATGCTTATTCAGGACCAGCAGAAGCCCACCTCTTATTTCCTTTTGCACTGTTCCACTACAGTAGCCTTAGAGCTGTTCCTCCCTGGTCCAGTGAAGGTAGGAATGGGGACTGTTGCTTTAAGTACTACCGCCCCTATCAGAGGAGAAATGCGCCTACATCAGGTACGTCATCAGATAGATGCAGACATCAGACACCTTGAGTTCTCCCTCTATATGCTCCGTGCCTGGAAGAAACCTTTGGCAAGTGTAGTCCTTCAAAGAGGCAAGGCTTAGACTTAGTTTTCATTTCCCAAGAAGGACTTAGTTTGTTGCTTCAATGCCAACAAATCAAGGGTTTTCAATGAGACTTTAGATAGGTAATTTAGATAGGTGATAACGGGGACATGAGTCAAATAATTCCTGGTACTATAAAATGTTTGATTGAAACCCTTGGCTCATAACTTTTTTTTTTTTTTTTTTTTACTGTCTTGGCTGGCCCCTTACTCCTCTTAATAGGGCTTCTGAATCGAAACAAAAGCAGAAATACCAACTATAGTCCTGCCATCTGCCATACCATCGGGAAAAGTCTCAGGAGACCTGGACAACCGAGCTTGGTATTTTCCAGTCCAGATCCGAATACGCCCTCACTCGCTTGCACGCATGCGTGACAGCACTGTTCGGCACCGCCGCAGGTTTAGCAGGACGGTCCGCCAGCGTCCACCCGGGCACACTGAAGCGGTTGCTTCCCGAGCGTTCCCGGGTCTCCAGCCCAAGCCCCCTACTCCTCCCTTCCGGCCTTTCGACTCCGTGAAGACGGCGGTCGCTGCACTACGTCAGGAACGACGCCAGCCTCCCGCACGGGGAGCCGGACGCCAGGCAGCTCGGCACCGGCGGCTGCGCGCGCAGCTGCACCCGGCGCCCCGCCCCTTCCGCCGCGCGTGCGCAGGCACGGCCGCCTCGGCGCGCCCGGGTTGGCTGCCCCGGAGGCCTTCTCGGCAGTAATGGCTCCTCTGATGTGATAGTTTTCCCCCGCCCCCTCGCGTAGGACGCGGCGGCGGGGCGGCGGTGGAAAGCCCAACTTTATTGTTCCCCCGGCCCACCTCCCGGCGCGTCCTCAGGATGCTCGGGGGCTGAGCGCCGGGGGGCGGCGGAGGGTCGCGGTCCGTCCGGGGCCCACGCCTCAAGAGCGCGGGGCCGAGGGAGGGAGGGAGGGAGTCACGATGTCAGGTAGCCGCCAGGCCGGCTCGGGTTCCGCAGGGACGAGCCCCGGCTCCTCGGCGGCCTCCTCGGTGACTTCCGCCTCCTCGTCCTTGTCCTCGTCTCCGTCGCCGCCTTCCGTCGCGGCCTCGGCGGCGACGCTGGTGTCCGGCGGGGCGGCTCCGGCCGCAGGCTCGGGCGGCCTCGGCGGCCCGGGCCGGCCTGTGCTGGTGGCGGCCGCGGTGTCTGGCAGCGGCAGCGCGAGCGGCGGCGGGGCGGTGTCCGCGGGCCTGTCCCGGCTCAGCTGCGCGGCCAGGCCCAGCGCCGGCGTCGGAGGAAGCAGCTCCAGCCTCGGCAGCAGCAGTAGGAAACGACCTCTGCTCGCCCCGCTCTGCAACGGGCTCCTCAACTCCTACGAGGACAAAAGCAACGACTTCGTCTGGTGGGTTTGCACAGTAGCCCCTGCGCGCTTGACCACGAGTTTTTGCTACTGAAGCTGGCGGGGTCCGATGTGGGGAGGCCTGTTGGATACGGCAGTTTGGTGCTTGCTGGGATTCGAGCCGAGGGAGTTGAGTGTTTGAAGTTAAGGTTTCTGGTGGAGTTAAGGCTGGGAGATGGGCTGGGATTTCCAAGGCAAAGTGGTGAAATGAGGTAACGTAGAGGTGCGTGCTAGTGTGCAGAACCGAAGGCGTTTAAGGATAGAGGTGGAGGTCCAGTAAATGGTTATGTAGAAAGGAAGTATTTTGACTGTTTTGGCCATCTAGTGGATGAGACAAGTCTGGAGTAGTTCATGAAAGTTCGATTTTTGGGAGGAAGAAGACTAGGACCTGAATTTTTTGAGGCGTGGAATTGCTGGTCAACACTATATTGCAAATACAATAGATGGTACCCCAAACATGGTAAAGTGGTCTTTACCCATCCTGCGTGGGACTGTGTAGATGTCTCCCATCGAATGGACAGGACACTTGTAATTCTACTGTTGATAATAATGTCGTCAAACTTTGTTCACGACCGATTACTCGTTTCAGCTGTTAGAAAGAGTGCAAGGAAGCACATTTATTAAATAGTGTACTTGTGTTGTACAAAACTATCGCATCGCTGTGTAATACACTGGAACTTCTGACTTGAGAAATGCTTATATAGTCATTGCATCACAGCTGGCATCTTGAATGACACAGTAGAATTCAGTCATTTGGCATCTAAGAGGAACTTTAACAAAAAGATGAATCTGATTGTCTTGAAGAATGCTTTGAATTTTAATGGGGTTTTAATACTAGATGTAGGGTTATGAGAGCTTAATTAACATTTCCTGTTCAAAAACTGGTAGAATTCTGGGCCGTTTCTGCAGAGGAACTTGTTGATTGATTTAATAGTAATGATGGAGGAAGTAGGCTTGAAGAGTCATTCTTGGGGAAGTTGGTTCATTGCACAGTTGAAAATGGTCTTAGGTGGTGTTATTAAATATGGTGGGGCTCAAGATGCTAACCATTGAGAAATATATTGGCTATAACTTCTTTCTTCTGGAATATAATTTGTATTTCTGCTTTTGTTTAGGTTCAGAAGTAACGTTTTTTGTTGTTGAAACAATCATGGTTAAGATTATTTCTAATTTAAACAGTTCATGGTTGGATCTAAGAGTTGTTTGCTGTCCTTTTTTTTTTTTTTTTTTCTTTTTGAACAGGGTTCTCTGTAGCCTTGGCTCGTTCTGGAACTCCTCTGTAGAATAGGCTGACTTGGAGCTCAGAGTTTCACCTGATTCTGCCTCCCAGTGATGGTATTAAAGGTGTGGTCTACCTGGCTGAGGTGTTTGCATTCTTGTCCAGTCAATAGAGTCTTGTGATAAGGTAGAAGCTAGGAAAACAGCTAGCTTGTAGAATTTAAATTTGAGCCATTATTTGGAGTTCAGTTTTCAAAAAACAAAAGAAAACAAAGATACCAGCATCCTTAGGTTGTTTAAATAGTGCTAAAGGTGTGAGAAAGCAGAGTATTATTCAGTTATTCTCCAGATAACTTAGACATTGACTGTTGATCCATCTGTCTGAGAGTGATGCAGGCTATGGTGTAGGGAACTGGAGGTGAATGAGGAGCAGCTGGCACTTGGTATTATTAGGCAAGAACTATTTCATTTCTGTCACTGTGACCAATACCTTGACTAAAAGTAACTTAGTGAAGAAAAGGTGTGTTTGGCTTAAGGTTTCAGTTTCAGTTCATTATTGTGGAGAGGTCAGTGTAGGAACTGAAAAGAGTCACATCCACGTCAAGCAGAGTTCCATGCTGCCTGCTTGTTTGCTTGTGACTCAGCTGGCCTTTTCCATTCCTGTATAGTCAGGGCTCCCATCCAGGGATGCTGCTGCCCACAATGCTGCTCACAGACTGAGTTTTGTTATACCAGTTAACAATCAAGACAGTCCCACACAGACATGCCACTAGGCCACCCTGATCTAGACATTCCTTGGTTGAAACGCTTTCCACGTGGTTCTAGGTTGTGCTAAGTTGACAGGTTTTAACTGTTAGTTTTATAACCAGCTTAGGAGTAAGACTAAATTATTAGTTCATTACCTGGTTGTTTAAAAAAATAAATTGGGCCTAGGGCCTTGAGAGAAGACTTCAGTGGTTAAGAGTACTTGTTGCTCTTCAGAAGAAGGGTTTGATTCCCAGCACCCAATTGGCAGCTCACAACTGTCTGTAACTCCATTTCTAGGGTCTCTGATCCTTCTTCGGTACCCAGATGCACACCAGACACACAGTGATATACACATACTTGCAGGCAAAACACCCATACATATAAAATAAAAACAAATAATTGCTCTCTTATTCTATGTTGTATAGGTACTATATTTTATATTCCAGTGTGAAAATGTCCAATGAATATTTTTAGTTAAAATTCTGAATGTAAGAATCTCACTTCATTATTTCTCTTTCTGGTGAGATTGTCTATTAAGAAAAATTAATCAGTGAGTATATTTTTGACTTCTTACACTAGGTTTAATTTTGATCAAACTCTGGAGTAGCATTTGTAGTAGGCAAAATCTTAGCAACCCTTTTTATTCCTAATTGGCCTCTGGGTGCTTTTGTCTTTTCTATACCTCAGTGTTATATGAGGTATATATGAGCCAATTCAAATTACTGTAATCTTCAATATCTAATAAGATTGAAGTTCAAATAATGTTAATTCTTTACTCATTGATAACACCTTTTAAAATATATATTTATATTTCACATCTCATTTTATCCTTAGAGAATTTGTAAGGAGTTACGTAGATTCTCTTATTTTACTATAACAAGAGTATAATGATTTTCCTGACTGTTTCAGATCGGATAGCTAAGAGACAGAAAGAGAAATCAGATCTAGAGTCTCAGTTTATCACTTCCCTTTATGTGGTCAGAAAGTTTGAGCTCTGTGAGTTCTAGCATATTGCACAGTGGTTCTTAAATGGCCTTGATTGGAGGTAAGCAGCTGTTTCATTCATGTTTTTCTCCTTAGCCACTTCTCCCCTTGCTGCCCCTAATCTGAAATCAGTCATAGTGGGAGGCGGTAGATAGGGACATGCCTCTCTTCCAACTCCTTGAGAACAATTAAGTAAAGTCACATACCTAATTTTAGGAATACTTTTAGCTTATCATATTTGAAAATAAGTTTACATTTAATTGTAGGATTGATTGACATTTTTGATATTTACAGTTTGTAGTCTTATATATCTTACAAAAGGTTAGCAGGATTCTGTTGTGGGTAATTTGTACAGTGTAGGAAGGCAGAGAAAATTCAGGTGACAAGAGCTCTACCCTGGAATCTAGTTTGCCCTTTTTTCCTACTGAATGAGAGTCAAGAAACTTCTACAACTTAAAATGTCAAAATTGCTTAGAGAGACAGTGTTTTCCTAAAGACATGAAGCAAGATTTAAAAACTATAAATGAACTGTGTTTACTGGGGGCCTTGGATTTTACCACATCACTTCACATCCCTAAACTTAAGCGATGATCTCATAAACCGAAAAAGGAGAGAGTTCTTTAGAATAAGAAAAATATTAAGTAGTTCATAATTTTTTCTTCATTTTAAACCTAAATTTTAAATCTTAACTTTTAAAACTTACAAATTACATCCTTTGAAGAATGTAACTTCTAAAGCCACAGGGGTCACATACGCAGCTGTTGTAGTGGCATACCCAAGAACTCTCCAGAGAAGTCTGCACCCGTGTTTTTTGTTTGTATATTCTCCTTTTCCTGTGTGGCTCCCTAAGCAATTATATAGTAAGCTCGCTAACTTTGCTTAACTCTGTCTCATCTTGAAGGTCTTAACAAGTGTTTTCTGTAGCTGGTGATCCCTGAGGGTGGAATGCAGGCTTCTAGTGGCAGTAGTGTGGTATGGTTCCCTGTCGCCACCAGCAATTCTTGTAATACTTGTTGAGACATTCCTTTGTAATCAATTTCTCTTTTTTATTGGACTATTCTTCCTCCTGTTCATAGGTTATATTTTCATTTGGGTGCCTAGCATGAGTGAGACCCTAGGTTTGATCCCTAGCATTTACTGTCTGGCATGTGCGTGTGTGCATGCACATACCCATATGGTGGTAGAAGTTAACATGAAGATCCATTTGCTCTTTTTGAATTTTTTTTAATTAAAATTAAGCAGCACGTTGAAGGCAAGGTGTCAAGAACTAATTCTTTAGTAGAGCCTGATAGGCTTTGCTCCTACTGACCCTTCTAGGATCTCTGTTGGATGCCCTGTGTTTGAATAATAATTCCCATTTTACCCCTGAGCTTGTGCAGTTGGACCATGGATACGGTCACATTTACTCAGTCAAAAAGGAGGGATAGCTTCTGTGGCTGTTCCAGAGTTAGTTCTTGTAGATCCTTCCTTTCTGATGTTTTTCTTTAAGCATTCTCTCTCTTTTGTGCTTCCTGAACTGCTCAGTTAGTGAGTTTTTGTGCTCTGCCTGTGTTATGACTGCCTACAAAATGCTTTCAGGCAAAAGAGTGAGTCCGCAATAAAAATGAGATATGTTCATTTGTTTCCCTTCCTTCAAGGATGTCAGTCCTGTGCTGACAGTGTTTAAAAGGTAGCGTTCACTGTTTTAAAAAAGTATTTTTTAAAAATCTAATTTTCTGAGTAATAATGTCAAAGGAAAGTTCTCCCCATTAGCTGTTGACCTCAGGTGCAAGTGAACTATACTTCATTATAGTTTTCTGAGTACAAATGTAACTATCTTTCACTTCACCATAACATTTTAAATGTTGACTTACATATTGTAGTTGTTTGTAACATAACAGTTGCTATTTGTGGTTGGATGTAGCTATCATTTCATGCAGGTATGTATACATAAAAGATACATGCCTCAAGGAATGAATATAGTTTCAGCAGAATGAAAGAAAATCTCCTTGAGATAATTTTGAATTTGTTGTTTCATTCTTTATGAGCTAATTGTAGGAATGCAGGACAGGTGATTCTGAGATATAGAAAATTAAACATGTTCAGCAAAATTCCCACAATTGAAATCAGTTGTAGGATACATAGCTAAGTTTAAAGCTGGCATAAGAGCGTAGTGACAGTGGTGTTTGGTGCTATGGTGGATTCTTTTTAATAAATTTGGCATCACTAAAGTACTGGATATTATTGTGTAGAAAAATGTGGTTATGAGTGACAAAGTTTACTTCAGGAGCCTGTGAAATGGCACCGTAGATAAAAACAGTTGCTGTACAAGCCTGACAGTCTGAGCTCTTTTCTGGAAACTTAGCAGGAGGGAACCGACCTCTGAAGGTCCTCCAGCCTCCACATGTGTGGCGCAGCACCTACACACATAGATAACTAAAATAACGTTTAGCTGGGTGCACATCTTTTAATTCCAGTGCTTGGGAGCCATCTCTGAGTTACAATGCTAGCCTAGTATACATATTGAGTCCCAGGTTAGCCAGAGCTACTTAAAGACCCTGTGATTGTTTCTCTTCCCCTACCCCACCCCTCCCCCAAAAAAGGAAAGAAAGAAAGAAAGAAAGAAAGAAGGAAGGAAGGAAGGAAGGAAGGAAGGAAGGAAGGAAGGAAGGAAAAGAAAAAGAAAAAGAAAGAAAAGAAAGAAAGAAAGGTTAGTTCAGATTGCGGAGTAAGTTCAATAGGTAAAGTACCTGCTGCATCTGTTTAAGAACGAGTTTGGATCTTTTAAGAACCTGAGTTTGGATCCTCATAAAAAAGAAAAGTTGGACTTAGCAGTATATGCACCTATAACCCTAGGGCTGGAGGTTGGAGACATGAATTTGGAGCTTCACTAGCCAGCCAGTATATCAAAAACAATATACTCAAAAGTTCAATGAGAGACCTGCTCTCCCACTCTCCCTCACTCCAAAAGGTGAAGTTATTGAAGAAATCCACATTCACCTCTTCACACTCACTTACATGGGCTAGCACACCCATGTATTCACATACAGACATGCATATACTCCACACCATCTAGAAAAAGTTAAATTAGTAAAGTTAAATACTAAAATAGAAGCATTTGTAAGAGTACCTGGTTTGATTTTTATATATAACTTGCATTCATGATGTAAGACAATTTGTGTAAGTCTAAAGAGAGAAGTACAATAAAATTGAATTTTGGCTGGGACATAGCGTAGATCATATGGGAGCCTGGTGTGTGTAAGACCATGTCCAAAACCAATGTGGAGCCTAGGGCTGTACACAACAAAAGACAGTAACAATGTAAAAAAATATTTTCCCAAGGATCTTTCTAAAGGTATGTGTCTGCCTGCTTGGCACTGGATTACAGATCATGCACATTTACATGATTTGAGAATAACTCAGGTTCTCTTGCTTGTAAAGAAAATGCTTTGCCAACTGAGTCTACCCCAAAGCTTTATATTCATGTCAGTTGACATATAGTTATGTTGAATATGATGGGTATGGTATGTAATGATTTGATCAGGACAATTTGGTATATCCATTGCCTCAGACATTTTTCACTTTTCTGTGGTAGGAACATTGCAAATACCCTATCTTGATCATTTAATAATGTTGGTTTGTTTTTGTGTGTGCATGTGTGTGTGTGAACTGTAGTTATCATATTATGATTTAGGCCATTCAAGTGTCTTGTCCTAGCTATCTATAACCCTATGCCCATTAATCATGCTTTTTGACTGCAAAGAATGCTGGGATATCGAGTATTGTTTTGATCTTCTTAGAAAAATAAGTAAGAGGAGAGTTAGAATTGAAATTTAACTTCAAATATCACACCACCATATATTACAGTGATTAAGAACATAGACCTAAATTTGATTGTGGCTTTGTTACATCCTACCCATCTGACTTTTACAACTCATTCTCTCAGTTTTCTCATTTATAAAATGGGTCTAGTAACAGGTACTGTTGTGTGACTTTTTCTGGGGAGACACAAATGTTTACTCACCCCAGACAGGAAAGTAGTGACAGACTGAAGAAATGGTCCCACCCAAGTCTAGCTTGGTGAACTAATGAATTTTGGGGGTCTTAGTTGCAGAAGTAAGTAAGGGTGACTGAAAGGCAGCTGAATCACCAAAAACTCAACCCAGATGGGGTGCAGTGTACTCAGGCTGTGTGCATGAGCCCTGTACAAATTTTAAGTAGCTCCACTGAAGTCTCCCCTTCCCTGTAATTGTTACTTGCTTTAAAAACATTGGTTGAAGGGCCTTGTAAATCTTGTAATATTCTGAGCTTCGTAAGTTTCCTCAGTGTCTTGAATCTTATGACTCCCTTCCCCCTGCACCCAAGGAAGGAATATTTCAATTTGGAGGAAAGAGCACTACAACTGGTACCTCGTTTACTGTATTGTAGGAAGGATCAAATGACTTACTATATGACATAGTTTAATAAATATTGCTTGGTCTATTTTATATGTTAGCTTTTACTGACACTATCTAGAAGCATTATTGAAACTATGTTATCATTCAAAGATTTAGTTTTCTTTAGAATAAGATAAAAAGAGGGTTGTTCCCTTCTCTCCTTCCCTTTTTCCCTTTCTCTCCCTCTCAGGTTGGGGATGGAGCCTAGGACTGTGTAATACTTAACAGTTGCTTTACCTCTGATGTATGTGCTTTTAGTCTCAAGAAGAGAACTTGGGCTAGTTGGTCTAGGTTAGTGTTCTGAGCGTAGGAATAGTGGGTAGAACTTTTTTGAGGCCTCTGATAACCGTTTCACCTAAACATTATGGGCTGGGTAAAATCTTTGAATAACTTAAGTGTACTTACTGCACTTCTTTCAGAGTTTATTGCTCTTTGGGTCAGCTTGAACATGTTACTTCTAACAGTCCTAAAAGTTTCTGTTGAGAAGATTAGAATACTTAGCTCTTAGCTATATATTAAATTTGATTTGTTTGACTTTGTTACAAGCCCTTTCCAATGTGTAACATTGTGTGTTAACAAACATTTGTCAATGTTTTTTTTTTTTCTCTCTCTCTTTTTTTTGTAGCCCCATCTGTTTTGACATGATTGAGGAGGCATACATGACAAAATGTGGCCACAGTTTTTGGTAAGGTGATCTTCATTCAGTATACATGCATCCAACAGGAAGTTATGCTCTTTAAACTCATTTTATATTTTTCTTTGACTGATAGGTATTTATAGGGTTGACAGCTGAAGTTATAAAATGTGTTTGGTACATGACTTATGTGAAATACTCCAGTGTTAAGATAAATTTTTAAATCTTGTATTTATTATCTGTTAGCAGAAACTTCAGTGTTTAAGAAAATCAGGTGGATACTCAGTCATTAAACATGAGATGACAGTTACTTGGGAGTAAGGTGGGAGGACCCAGAAAACAGGTGGGCACAAACATAGAAAAAGGATGGAATGGATTAAAAAGTCCTGCACTGTCTTAGTTAACACTACACTGATTGTCTTTAGATTATATTGATGTATTCTACATATTATATATAATAATTACATGTTCTATAATTACGTGTCATATTGATGTATTTAAAAATTCAAATTGTAAAACACAGAACTTAGAGTTTTACCTCATCTTGATGTATAGAGTTACGTTGTGCTATGTTCATTTGTTGTGCAGTCTCCAGGACTTGTTCTTATTGCAACACTGAAACTGTATACCTGCTAAAACAATGCTTCACTTTTCATTTTTGCAATTCCTGAAAGCTACTATTTTCCTTTCTGTTTGTATGGATTTGTCAGTTCTAGATACCTCATATGTATGTACTTAGATCATAATATGTCTTTCTTTGAATGACTTAATTCACATAATGTCCTTTGCATTCTTCTGTGTTCTGTTATGACACAACTGTCTTTTAAGTTTGAATAGTATTGCGTTTTTATGAAGAGGGGACATTTTGCTTATTCATGCAGTCATCTATGAATTCAGCCTCCTGGCCCTGATGAATAATGCTGCCATGAATGTGTGTATTACTTACTTTTCTGTTGCTTTGATAACACACCATGACCAGAAGTAGCTTATAGAAGGAAAAGTCTGAGTTTTCCAGTCCAGAAAAATAGGAGTGCATTGCGGCAAGGAGGCATAGCAGCAAGCAGTAGGCATGGTGACTTCAGGATTAGGAACCTGGAGCTCACATCTTCAAATGCAGATGCAAAGCAGACAGAGGGAACAGCAAGTGGGGAGAGACTGTAATCACTAAAAGCCCTCCACCAATGATAACTTCTTTGGCAAGGATGGACCTCTCAGAAGTTTCACCACATCCCCAAACAATGCCAGAACATGAGCTTCTGTGGCAAACTCTCCTTCATACCGCAATATGCTGGTCTCTGCTTTCTGTTCTTTTGGGTATTCATCTCTCTCTGGTTGTTGTTTTACGACAAAGGATACCTCAGGGTAGAAGTAAAGAACCAGCTGTAGACTTACTCAGGTTATGGTAGGTGGGAAAGGACATGGAGCTGCCTACTCTCTCCAGGCATGCATGCCTCCTCTAGTACCTCCACATGTTCAGCAACATGCACATCTCTGCACCAGATATCATTTTGGCTTCATTAAGTTGCAGGGCCTAGTATCAACTCACCCGTCAGTTAATCTCATCTTCCCTTTGAGGGTGGGCTTGAAGTTACAGACCTCTACCAAAGTTGTTAGTCTCTTGAACAACCTAGGAGCTCCCAGGAATCAGACCTCTCATTTTACTTGTTTATTTTTAAATTTTTTTTTGCTACCTGGGACCAGCCATTTCCATGAATTACTCATGGATTCGGTTACCATGTAAGATTAGTCTTAGTATTGGAAGTTGTACCTGTAGTTTTATGTTAACAGTGGCTGAGCATGACATTCGATAGGCACATATGCCTTAGTTACCAGTGGGTGAGGCCTTTGATCTGAAGTAGGATTCAGGGTTAGCAAGGTTTGGACTAAACTAACCTATTTAATTTGTATTATTTATGTTCTCCATTAAAATAAAATTATGACACTATATATTCTTGGCTTAGAAAAGCAACTATTATGGTGTGGAACAATGTACTACGAAATGTAAATGTCTCTGTCAGCCATTTTTTCTCCATTGTTAGAAGCTTTCATTGTTAAGAAATAATTACATGTTTTCAGAATTCTTTTGCCATGTCTTTTTTAACTTTGGAATTATATTTTCTCATTCACAATTCATACATACATAGTGTACTTTACTCATAATACCCTCCCCATTATCTACTTTTATCTCTTTCCTTCCACCAAATCTCTTCTACCAAAAAGTCCCTCTCCTACTCTCATGTTTTGTTACACCTCCTCTTCACCCGCCCCAAACAGGGTTTCTCTGTCTAGCCTTAGCTTTCCTGGACTTGCTTTGTAGACCAGCCTGGCCTTACAGAGCTCCACCTGCCTCTGCCTCTGCCTCCCTGAGTGCTGGGATTATAAGCATGCACCACTGCCCCTGGCTTTATTATTCATTTTTTATTGATTAATTTGGTTCTTTGAAAATTTCATACATTTATATATTATGATTATACGCCCCCTTTTTCCCCCTCCTGTTCCTACCCACCCTCTTCATTCCTCCCTGCCCTGTCTCCAGGCTCCTCTCTGTGTTTGTTTGTTTGTTTGTTTGGCCTCACAGTATTTAATAAGGGATGACTACGTGAATGTTGGCAGTTATTTATTTGAGCGAGGGCATGTTACCAGGGGCTACACAGTGATCTGTGCCTTCCACCACGTCAACCATTAATTGTATATAGTGCCTGGAAAAAAGCTAGGAACTTAGGAGTCCCTCTTCCATCTGTGATGGGCCCAGTCTTTTGGAGGTCTTGTGTAAGGTCCTCAGTAGAAAAGTTGTGTCATGTCCAAAAGACAGCATCTCACAGTTCTCTTTCCCATCTCTGCTCTCTCTTCTTTCCTGTTCCCTAAGTTTGGAGGGTGAGGGATTAATGATGTCCTTTTTGTCTCTGACCATTCAAAAATTACATGTTCTTTAGCACTTATAACAAAGCTTTTTGTTAACATCTAAAATATTCTTCCTTTTATCTTTCAGCCCCTCTCACATTTATATCTACCCAGTTTCCTCTTTCATAACTGGCTTTATTTGACTTTATTGGTAAAAGCCAAACTCTTCTCATGTTTATATTGTGATAATAATCATTCATCTGCTCTTTTTCTAAGAACACTTTTCCACATTGAATTTTTCGTCTTTTGTGTTTTTATATTTCATCATGGGTCTTCTTTAATAAAAATTAAAACTAATATGTAATGTTATTTTCTTTATTGATATTTTCATATAGGAAGTGTCTAGTCACATTTGGAGCTTATCTTGGTAATCATAGTCTTGCTCTTGTTGCGGGAAGTAATTATGGTGTTTCTGGAACACTGTTTACATAATTTGTTTTGTAGATACCAGGGTCTCATATTTATTATGGACACACAGTTACTTCTGCTTTAGGCCCCTGTGCTGTGTGTGCTAAAGACCAGAGTGTCTGTTCTTGCTTTTCTGGAAAGTAATGAATGTGAAATGAAGGTAGTAGAAATGTAGAACAATAAAGCTTGATGGGTGGAAGGTAGCAAGATTAAAAAATCAGCTTCAGTTTATAAAAGTGAAGTAAATATATAATAATCTGGAAAGAAGAAAAGGTAGATTTTATTTTTAGAAATGATTTTTATAAGTACCTTTCTAGTTTCTTAGAAATTCTTCTTTCCTGCTTATCACAGTAATATATACGTACTATAGAAATGACTTAAAAACATCTACAAAGAAAATATTACTCACCTACAGACAGAAATACTGTTCATTAACGCTGTAAGTCATTTTTAGCTTATTTAAAATGTTCATGTATATTGATGATATAATGATTTTCTTCCCATATCAATTTGATAGTTTTCTAATAATACGTAGAACATGTATATTCATTTATTTATTTAGGCAAGGTAATACACAGTTATAAAAGGTCTGGCATTATAAAGGAGCTTGCTATGCAAATGTGTCAACTTGCGTTTGCTCTCCAGAAGCCATGTAAAGGTATAAAGAAAGAATCTCGTCCACAAAGTTGTCTTCTGATCCATGGCCGATGCCTTGCACCATCACACACATATAGTACTGATGAAATTAGCAGTTTTTAAAAAATGTGTACCACAAAGATATAAGAAAGAATATTTTCTGTAATGTGTATGGAAAAATATATAAATATGCATAAACAATATATGATATATATACATGTAAAATGTGATTTTTTTTTTATTGTCAGTATACCATTGCATTGAATTGATAATTATAGATTTGTTCAATTTGTATGTGTACTTTAGGTAGCTTATGTTATAGTTTGCTATTATGATGCTGTTAACTAACTCTGCATTGAAGAGCATATGTGTTTCCTGATGATAACGTCTTATAAATAAAAGTCACCATATTAAATAGAATATAGAACCTTAAGGTTTTTTTTTCTGCATTTAACTTTTAGGAAAGTTGCACTGGTTGCATTTCCTTCAGCTATTTAAGATTCTGTCTCCTGGAGTATAACACTATTTTCTTTTATTTTTCGATTCCTGTTAGTAAAAATTAGCATATAATTTTGAATCACTTTTTTGTTACTAGTGAAGATGATTTTCTCATACGTCTAGACTGGATATTTGTTTTTGATTGAGTATTTAGAGTTTTTCTTTTTGTTTGAACTCTGTGTGATCTAAGGATATCAATATTCTAAGAACATATATAGTTTGCTTAACTAAGCTGTAGACATTTGCCTTCCTAGTGTATGATATAAATTGCATAACTTAAAACGTAGTCTTCATTCACATTTTATACTACATGTAGGACTTTATATATTATTCAGTCAATAAATGCTTCATGTATCTTGTTTGTTATATAAAAATGTAGGTGGAAATAAATTTGCTATATCAGTTATGTTGAAAGTGAGAACACTGTTAGTATTTTTTGACCAGTTTGTTAATTTCTTTGTTGTTTAATTAAGTTTATGTTTTTTTCCCCCATGCTAATAGCTACAAGTGTATTCATCAGAGTTTGGAGGACAATAATAGATGTCCCAAGTGTAATTATGTTGTGGACAATATTGACCATCTCTATCCTAATTTCTTGGGTGAGTCTTTGGAATTATTTCTGTTATACTCTTTCCACAAAATATATGCCAACAATAGTTTATTCAGAAATCCCAACTCAGAAGTAAGCAAGTTTTTCTGTTACTCACCAGGGTGCTTTCATCTTCTTGGGCTATGGCATAGACTCTGTACATGGTTAGTACCATTTCTTGTTATTTTTCAGTTTCATAGATTCAAGACCAACATGCCTTTTAGAATTATTATACCCTTTAGAATTTTGGACAGAATGTAAATTTTCAAGAGGTTGTCAGAGATTTAGAACACCTATATGTTTCTGTATGTAGTATTATATGTTTCTGCTGACAGTTGCAGTTAGAAATAACAGAGGAAAGGCTTAATAGGGAGGGACAACATGTGCTTGGTCAGTGTTGACTAACCGGAGAAGGGGAAGATTGAGTCTCTATAGACGCCTGAGTGGAGTATAAATTTAGGTATGAGTGGTAGAAACTTGGAACTAATGTTGTCAATGTAATGTTTATTGTGAATTTAAAAATTAATGGTTTTAATTATATATGGTGGCAGTTTTCATACCTAGCACTTGAGAGCTCATCATAGCTAATGCATGAGATCTTGTGTGGTCCAGGCAGACCTGTCTCAAAATAAGTTGTCTTAACATAAAATTGCAGGACCAACTTCAGTATAAATTAAGGAATAATGAGTATTAGAACACAACAGAAATGCTAAGACTAATATTACTTGCCAGTAAAATACATAAATAATCATGAGGATGAGTAGTTCCAAGTAGAATGCCCTAATGATAGGCAAGTAAAATGAGGTGGCTGATGCCTGGGAGCTTCTAGGTTGCTCAAGGGACTAACAACTTTGGTAGAGGTCTGTAATTTCAGGCCCACCCTCATCAAAGGGAAGATGAGATTAACTGAAGGATGAGTTGATACTAAGTCAAAATGATATCTGGTGCAGAGATGTGCATGTTGCTGAACATGTGGAGGTACTAGAGGAGGCATGCATGCCTGGAGAGAGTAGGCAGCTCCATGTCCTTTCCCACCTACCATAACCTGAGTAAGTCTACAGCTGGTTCTTTACTTCTACTCTGAGGTATCCTTTGTCATAAACCAGCAAAAGTAAAACAGCAATCAAAGAATATGAAAGAGGGAACTAAAAATACACAGATTATATGCTCATTAAGGTGGCTGCTAGAAAGGATTGTGAAAATGGAGATGCTGTATGTGTTTTTGTAGTGGAAAACAGTACGGTGTTTTCTGAAAACACAGTGAAACAAAGTTTCATGATCCAACAGTTTCCTGTAAGTGGACAACAAGAAGAAGTCCTCAGAAGTATTTGTATGCTCATATCCATAGCATCATTCTCTGGAGCCCGGAGATGGAGCCATGGAAGGCCAAGTGGATAAAAATAAAATGTACAACAACTCAGACTTGAAGAGGAAGGGGATTCTGACAAAATCTAAAGCACCCTCAATATACTCAATTCCTTTTTTTCTTTCCCATGTCTTCAAATTCTACCCCCCTTTCCAGGAGTTACTGTTAGTTTATTCCCACTTTCCACTTCCCAACTGATTTGTTTGTGTTTGTGTGTTTGCAAACTTTAGTATCTGTATTTAGACCTGGTATGGTGGTGAACACCTGTACTCTCCCAGCATTTCTGAGGATGAAGTATGTTTGTGTGTGTGTGTGGGGGGGGGGAGTAATTCAGTCTAAGCCTGGGCTGCACAGAGAGCCTCTGCAACACAGTCTCTTTCTTTCTCTCTCCCTGCTTTCCTCACTGTCTCACTCCCTCTCTTCCATACTCACCTTTCTGCCTGCTCCTCATTTTTTCCTTTACTTTCTCCCTAGCCCTCACACCCTCTTCCCATTTGTCTGTCTGTCTCTCCCACAAACAGTCCACTCAGAGCTCCCGTTAGGCACTATGTTGTGTGCTTTTATAGGCTACGGCTTTATTTTAGTGCAGTCTTATACTACTATGATGATGCTTGCTTTTTAGGTGACACTGAGACATAAACAGTTTGAGTGACTTGGGTAAAGCTATATAGACTTTACTTTTTTTTTTCCTGGAGGACTGATTGCTTCTCTAGATTAGAGATAGGAAAATCTCAATATGAAAATCTTAGTTAAAAAAGTCACATGCCATATGCTCAATTATATGTAGCTTGTATTTGAAGAGATTTCTGCTTCATTCACATTTTAACGTATTAAAATAAAAAAGTTTTTTTTTCAAGAATTGCTAATAAAAAAACAAAAACAAAAAACGAAGTAAAGCATACTTAGGAAAACAGACCAGTCCTTTTACTTCCCAGACAGACTGTTGTTTATATAAAGGTATAATTTAAAAAGTTCTTTGCTTTTTAGTTTTTGAGAATTTCATATACTACATTTTGGTCATATTCACCCTTCTTGTAATTCCTTCCAAATCCACTCCCACTTCCCTATCAGTCTAGTCTTCTGTGCTCTCTTTTTTTACATACACAAAAGTCCAGTTTATGCTGCGGATATATTTTAGATGTGTGGCCTTCTACTAGATGACTGTTAAGGTTAGGAGTTGGTTTAATACTGTGTCCATTTAGCAGAATAATAGTAGTAGTTTTAGCCTAGTGCCTATAGCTTGTCTAGTCACAGCTTTGAGGTCTGACAGTGTTGCTAGGTAAGATTTCTTTTTGTGGATTGGGCATTAAATCCAATTAGAGAGTAGTTGATTACTCTTATACTGGTTGTTCCACTAATGTACCAGTTATTTATGTCTTGCCAGACAGGCTGTTAATGCAGATCAAATGGTTCTTAGAAGCATAAGATTTATTCCTTCTTCAGTATTGTGCTTAGCGCTTTCTTTGAAGAATAGTTTTTAAAGTGGAGAATAACATTTTCAGTATCTATACAAAAATTCTGATTCAGTGTTTAAAGCTTATTTTGCTTACTTGCATTATTTCCTTACTAAAAATGTTTATTTTTGAGATGAGGCTTTTTTGTACAGCTCAGTTTGTCTTTGAACTTGTAATCTTACCATGCCAGCCTAAATATTAGGATAACAAACCTGTATCACCATGCTTGGCTCTCCCGTTATATAATCTTTCTTTAGTACTTTTTGCTGACCAACATATTTTCTTTTCGTGTTATCCTTCATTTTCTATAATAACTATTGTAATTTGCAACCTTTAAAAACTTACTGTAATAGTGTTGGCAAGAATCAACTGTGGTGGCATGTAAGACTTTAAAATATGCAGTAACATGCAATATTGTAACTATTTAAATCACAGTTCTTATTCACATGCTAAAAACTTAATGTGAAAGAAACATTAAACTCTGGCTTACTCTTTTAAATATTTTTTTATTTTTTATGATATATGTATGAGTGTTTTGTTTGCTTATATTTATGTATACCAAGTATGTGCCTTCTACCAAGGAGTCTTGACAAAGTCATTGGTGGCTATAAGTTGCTTTGTGGGTGCTGGGGACTGAAACTGCTCTTTTGTAAGTGAAGCAAGTCTCTTAACCACTCAGATGTCCCTTCAGTCCCACTCTGGTTCATTATTACCTGTTCACGTTCCATTGTGTTGTTTCAAATTTTCTCTTTCTTTTGTAGATTGTAATAAAATTGTTCGGTATTTATGTTTCCTACTTTTTAGAATAATATTGATGTATTAATATTTCTACTCTTAACTCTTTGCCCTGCTAACCTTCATAAAACCATTTAATGTTTCATGAGTTGGTCACATGCACAATATACACTTTATCTGTATTATTTTTCATTCATATTTCTGTTTGGAGAGTCTGTGCATTTTTACACTCTTATTTGACCTTTACATGGCCTATGTAGTTTATAGGTCTGTATCAGTGGTAGTATTGATTATCCTGTTATACTACTACTACTTCTTATGTATCTCTTGCTAGTTTGAGTTATTTGAGGTATCTATCCTCATTTATTTGTATAGTGGATGATATTCGGCATTTCATCTTGGATTCCAACTCTGTCCTATTCCATGTGTCACTCAAATGAATTCTGTATCCTAATAGAATTTTCTAGCACCATCGAATAGCCTTTTTGGCATTAGACTGTTTGGTGTAAGAACAAAAAATCCTAAATACAAGTAAAGTACCTTAAACATTTTTTAAGTTGTATTCATTTACAGAGAATTTCCAGAGCTCATTAATAATTTTAAATTCTCCCCAGAACTTCAGAATGTCATTAAAAAGGTTCAGATAACACCTCATTCTGGAGACAGGGAAAGAATTTCTTAGTATCATCTGAAAAACAGCACATCTCTCATTGATTAAGACTGTTTCAGGGCTGTGTGTGGAATCCCTATAATCTGGCTGAGGCAGGAGCATCAGGAATCTTAAATCAGGCTTGGTACATACTAAGACCTTGTCTTAAAAACTGGAAACAAACTGTGTGATTTCTTTGGCCCTTTATCAATTATTGGTAGAGAACAAACTGACTAATTTGGCTAAGTTAGTCGTACCGTGATTAAGAAGAGATTTGGCATCTTTGAAAGTTATATGATGTCTGAGATTTGGAAAAGTAATCATGTTGTTAAAAAGGATAAGATGTTTTTACATAGGTCATTATTAGCATCTTCCAAGGTGTTTATACAAAAATTACAACAAAGCAAAAATCCGTCTCATAGAAGGCACTTAAATGTTTTACATAGTGAAAAATTATCTCTCTTCAGATAACAATAGTTATTATTGAGAAAAATATAAGAGGGGTATATATTATAAATAATTTTCTGTAGTAATAGAACTTGATGTAGTAACAAGTAGATACATATTTTTTCTAATTCAAAATAGACTAGAAAGCCACCAATTTCTCTTTCATATTTCTTAAATTTGGAGCTCTGTAAAAGTTAAGATAAAAACCTACCTGAACAGAATAACTAGAAGATAAATTTAACAAAAATACAAATTTTGTGTGCTTTTTACTTTTGTTTTCAGTGAATGAACTTATTCTCAAACAGAAGCAGAGATTTGAGGAAAAGAGGTTCAAATTGGACCACTCAGTGAGTAGCACCGTATGTTTCAGCTCTTATTACTATTTCTATTTTTGTTTGTTTGTTTTATAATGCTGGAGCTTGAGTACAGGGCTTCATACACAGTAGACAAGTACCTTATGAAATAAGCAATATTCTTAGCTCCTCTTATTCCTATTTCTACTAAATCCATTTTAATGGTTTTTTTTTTCAAAAATAGATATTAATATCTAGTAAAGAATTGACTTTTCTTAAAGCAAGTTTATTTAAGAGTAAATTACTCAAATAAATAAGTAAATAATAACCTAATTCGATTGATTGTCTGTAATAGTTTCCTAGACTGACCATCAATTGAATGGCCTGGTGGTAAGGTGATACCTTAGATAGAGTTTACTTGTGTCAAACACTTGACGAGCCATATGTCAATGTATTTTGAATAAACTGCTCAAAGTTTCTTAATTAAAAGGATTATCCCCAAATTATTGAGACAAGTGAACTTAAAATTAATATTTTACAAAGTGCAAGGCCGAAAATCCAGGTATTTTGATTTACAGTACTTAGAAATTTCAACTTATTATTTGTCTTTTGTGTGTCTTTTATGCTAGTAAATTCATTCAAAGTAGAGATAAATTGTACCTCCACTAATTGGGAAGAAATAAGTTAGAATGTGATTGTAATTTTACTTTTGATGTAACAGAACACATGAGAAAGTTCTTAAATATTTGTTTTAGAATCTAAAGCAGTCTTGTTAAATTATCATCTTTCTTCTTTTCAATTTTAGAATGGGCATAGGTGGCAGATATTTCAAGATTTGCTAGGAACTGATCAGGATAACCTTGATCTGGCCAATGTCAACCTCATGTTGGAATTACTAGTGCAGAAGAAGAAACAACTGGAAGCCGTAAGTGGTGCCTGACTTTAAAGATCTTTGCGCTAAGTGATTATCTAGTTAGTCTGTAATGAAAAAAATACCTAGAAATCTTTTGAAATAATAGGTCATTTTCAGTAAATTATTTTTTATTAGAATAAACATATCTGAAAAGCATTTCTCCAGCCCATTTTGTAAGCCCTAAAGTGGATGAATAAAGGGTAATAGATTTTCAAATTTGACAAAACTGTGCACTAGGCCAACAGTGATGTATAGCTAAGAACTTACACCACTGTATTGTGGAGCAGAGGCTCTGGGATTGGGAGTATCATGTGTCAGGTTTATAGGACAAGCTGGGCATAGGATTAATAGACGTTGATGAACTAGCTGGGGGATTGGCAAGATAACTCAGTGGATAAAAGCTTATACCATGCAAACATGATGACCTGAGTTCTATTCCTGGTCCCATAGTGGAAGAAGAGAACTGTCTCTCTGACCTCCCCATATATAGCTTGCTTTAATATCTAGGCCTTTGATAAATGTAATCTAGTACCTTTTTTTGTTGTTTATTTTTTGTTTTGCTCTTTTTAATATGTATTATAATATATAGTATAGATAATATGAATATATATATATAATTTTCTACACATATGTATATGTGTGTATAATGTTCTTTGATCATTTTCTACCCCGTTATCCTCTATTATTAACTCCTTTCTTTTTACAACAAACCCCAACTTCCTAATAAATCTGTTCCTGCTTAGGTATCTTTTTGTGTGTATTGGGAGGGCTCAGCAGCATTTAAATAGGACCACGGGGCTGAAGGAGTATTGAGCAAAGAAATTAAGTAGAATCTACTCCACTGTGAAACACAAGTCTCCTAGCATCCTCAATCACCCCAAAAGGGTGGTACCTTACAAGTTTCACTGTAGTTGTGATGAATACTGATTGGCTCAGTCTTCTGGATGTCATGGACAAGTGGCCACTGCTGCTGTGAGTTTGTGGTGCAGCAGCTATGTCTTGTCCAGATGACACTGTTTCACAGTGAGCACTCTTTCCTGGGGCCGTTTGTAAAATAGCAATATCTGAATTTCTAGACCTGACAAAGTGTCTGTGTTAACAGTGCTTCAGATAATTCTGTTGCATAGTAAGGTAAATGATGGCTTTGTTAATCTTTGTTTTACCTTTTAAACCTGAAAAAAATGTTAGAATTGCATTTGTTTATAAACTATCTCATTCTGGTTTTAGGTCTTGACATATATTTATTCTGTTCATCTGCAGTTCCTTAGTTTCATTTTGTGAATTTTAGGATACCCATCAAATGTCATGGTCATAATGATCATTTATTAATATAATCTTCATTTCGGGTACCAGTTTGGGGTACTCACCATTATCCCTTTATATTTTTTATTTATTTATGTGTTTCTGTGTTTTCAAAGATTGACTTTTTTTTTTTTTTTTAATCAAACTTTACAAAAATGCATGACTTTTCCTGGGTGGTGTATTTCTGTTTACTCCAAGTTGAGGGCATCTTCATATGAGAGAAAGTATTCCACCTCGTTCCAAATAAGGGTTACTTAGAGAATTCTCAAGGATACCTGCTCTACTGCCAAAGAGCCACTTCCTTCTGACAGGGGAGGGTCAGAGTCTTCTTTGTCGTGAATGTTGATAGGCCTAATCCTGTGAGAAAGCTGTATACTTCTCTCCATTTAGTAATGCTTATGCTAGCAAATGAAATCTTTCAGAACAAACATTTTCATGTTTAGAAACTACTTTAGGTTCATTGTGGTTTTTGTCTTGATGTTGTTGAGATTGCTTGGAGAAAAGAAGCCATAGCATATAAATGTTTTTTTAAAACATGCAGAGTACCAATTTCTTCTGTTATTCTTTATGAAAAGTGGCTTGATTTTTTTTTTTAAATTGGAACTAGCTGATGGAAAAAAACTGTAAAAGTAGCACAGTAACGTAAGTGGATTTATCTGTAATATTAGTTATACAGTTGTCAATGAAAACTTTGAACTTGTATTAGTTAAGGAAAATGAAAATTTTCTATTCTAGGAATCACATGCAGCTCAGCTACAGATCCTTATGGAATTCCTCAAGGTTGCAAGGAGAAATAAGAGAGAGGTATGTCATTTTGTGCTTACATTATATTGAGTTTCTGTTATTCCTTATTTCCATTTTATATAACCATTTCAGGCTAAACATGTTTAAATATTTTACTTTAAGAGCATTTAACTTTGGAGGTGAATTTTCTTAAGCTTTGTTATTTAAAAAAAAACCTTACGTTTTCTTTTGTTCTTTTGTTGTTATCATACCATTTTTATTTCAGCTTTGTTTTTAGGCAAGGTCTCACTGTAAAACCCTGGGCATGCCTGGAACTCTAGACCAGGCTGGCCTTGGATCCATAGAGATCTGCTTGCTTTAGTGTCCTGAGTGCTAGAATTAAAGTTATATACCACCATGTTCAGCATAGTTCATTATTTTCAAGATCCTTTTTTGGAGGTGTGTTACCTGTTTTCAGCAGTTTTTACTTTAATAGCTAGGAAAATAGTGTATTGGTAGAGTACTTCCCTGCCGCATACAAAATAAGATCCTGTGAACCCCAGTCTCCAGTACTGTTAGCTTACCATAACGATTCATCTCAAAGCAATGAAACTAAAAAAAATAGAACCATGAGTTTTCCTCAGAAAACAGGGCAATTTAAAATAACCTTGAAAAGTTGCAGCCTTTCCTATGGGGAAAAATGCATGTTAAAAAAAATAGTTAAAACTTTAACTTGCAAATTCTTAACATGCAGGATACTTAAAAGACAGTATTGTATTCACTGATTTATAACCAGGATATTCTAATTTAGCAAAGTCACACATATAGATAATCTGTGAAGATCAATTCTGTGCTTTTGGCAACATATAAAACATAACTCTGAACTCTTGAGTTTTTCAACTCTCTAATATTTTCACTTTTAAGAGCTTTAAAAGTAAAGTGGTACTTTACTCTTAAACTATGTAATCTATTGTATGCCATGCTCTAGGCTGTTAACTTGAAAATAAAAAAGATGAGTAATCTTTTTACTGTGATAAAACTACATATTTCCAGAACTTTGTTATCTTAGTAGTTTTTCTTTTGGTCATTCATCTTGTCTTGCTACCAACTTCTGTCTTTGTTAAGATTTGAAATATGCTGGTGTGGAGAGCTAAATGCTCTTTACATGGTTTGCGACTATACTTTATCCTAACTTTTGTGGAATTTTATTTTATATGTTAACAAAAACAGTATCTTTATTACATGCCTAAGATTCACTTGTCTCTTGATGGTTTTGAGTGGGAGAGAAGGTAATGGTCAGTTATTCATTTGTTTAGCTTATAGCACAGTGCTTAAAAAGTGTATTTTATGTGTATGAGTGTTTGCCTGCATGTATGTAAGTGTACCACAAGTGTGCTTGGTGCTAGAGGTCAGAACAAGGGGATGGGCCTCACTGGACCTGAATTTACTGAGGGTTGTGAGCTATCTTGTGGGTGCTGGAAACTGAATCCATGTCCGGCCTCTGTAAGAGGAACTGCCATCTCTCCTGCCCACACAGTACTTAAACTATTGAGTTCATGGAGTCACCTTAGGATCTTTTTAAAATGTAGGTGTATTTTTGTTTGTTTGTTTTGTTTTGTGTGTGTGTGTGAGTGTTTTAACTAAAAGGAATCATTGGTCCCCAACTGTGTGCATTGCCAGCACACAGATGACTTAGAGGTCCTTGGTCCTTGGATCACACTGAGTAACAAGACTGAAGATTTCTAATGCATGTATATACTGTGAGCCCCCATCTCCTGCGGAAAAGTCTCTGGAAAATAGATAAATCTTCATATTTTTTATCTACCTTACATGTTAAACAATGAATGAAATTATGTTGCATTCATTTTACATGTGTTTTTTTTTTTGATGTAGACCTAATAGCTTCTTGTAAATATTTGTTTCATTGTAAGTCCTTGATAATAAATAAATAAATGTACCAATAAAGTGAATAACCCAGCCATATTAGGATTATGGTAATTAAATGAAATGTATGGTCATTTTTTAGATATGGAAATATGTAAAGTTTTTATTAGTTATTTAGTTTCTTTTTTCAGTATAGTTTCAAGTGTTAACAATTAAAGCTTTTATAGTCATAAAAAATCCAGAAAGGGCTGAGACCTTTACCTACCTCCCTTTTGGCCCCACCACAGTTTTATACATGCTGGCCAAAACGTGAGACTGATGAATTGAGACTAAAGACTTGATTACCCATGAAATGTCTGGCTGTACCAGCATCATCTTTGCCTAAGTCTGTCCCGACTCTCAAACCCTACAAGGGACAGTGAGGAGGTGGGTCCACTTACATTGGTGCATCTGGTGGATTTGTGTTACAGCAAAGGAAACCTAAGCTCAGAAAATCTTAATCCATCTAGTCTTTGTTCTATAGAGAGATACTTTTATTATGTTAGTCAGAAAATGAATCTGCTTGCTCCTCTGAAACAGTACTATTTAGTCTATGAATGTCTTACAAATAATTTTGAACAAAAACTGTTATAAAGTATGAACTGGAGTGATGAGTGGAAAGAATTGTTTCCTCCTCATGGTTCTGATAGGTCTTTCCTCTGGTAGCTGGTGTTTTCTAGTAACATCTCTGGGATACTTAACTGAATGATAAAGCTTTGTGTACTGCTTTTTTTATTTTTGTCATTAAACTTAATGGGAAGTTGTACTGGGCATTTCTAGCTTGACATAAATTGTGTCTAATATCCTTATGATTGACTTTCTCTTGTACTATATGTTTTTGTAGGTAGTTTGAAAACATTTCAAGCATTTCTGGATATTGGAGCCTATAGCAAGCAGTATATATATGTTCATAAGTACTTTTTAAAAAAATGTATCTATGATTGAGTTTGGTTATATTAATTTTAATTACAAGTGACTGAGGCGCTAGTTCATTAAACTCTAAAAAATCAATATATTTTATTTACTTTGTGGGATTGGGTTAGGAAGGGGGTGAATACACAGGTTAGAAGGCAACTTGGGGGAGTACGTTCCATATTTTCTGCTACTGTGTGTGTCCCAGAGGTCAAAATCAGACCATCAGACGTGATGTCTTTACTTTACCTCTTGAGCCATCTCACAAGTCTGACACCCTCATTTTTACATTAACACTTTAACCATTGTTTCTTTGTTAAAACAAAACAAAACAAAAACCACTGCTTTCAAGAGGGAACTCCACAAAGATATGAATACTAAGAGGAGAGGCCCTTTAGCAGCCACATTAGAGCCTACCTGTCATAGCATTTAATAAATGTATTTAGAGGAATGTTTTAGCTTTTCTTCATAGAGCAGTGGAAGAATTTTGAGTTCTTGGTAAAACCAGTTGTATCCATTCAAATCTGAACCAGCATTTGAATTAAAGTTTATAGTATTTCACTTGATTTATTTTTGAAGTAGACTGACAATTTTTGGAACTTCTTTATCAAACAGTTTATTCCAATTGTAATCTAAATGATTTAAATTTTAGCCATTTTATGTGAAATAAAACATGGGAAACTCTATCAGTAAAGGTTATGCTTAGAGTAGAAGAACATGTACACAACTGTTGATTACACAGCAAAGCATTGCTGGAATTCCAGAAGCTGCCTTCTTACCCTTTAGTAGTACTTTCTATTTTGCCTTCTTGCTAACATTCTGATATTACGGTAATGACATCTGTCTTTCCTGAATGTGTTGCTGCTGAAGTGTTTATAGGTCTCAATTTTTGAGCTTTATGTAAATGTACTTGTACAGTATGTAATCTGTTCCTGCCTTCTGTGGCTCAGAGTTAAGATTCACCTGTATGGATATACATGGTGAGTTGACTGTCTTAATTAGTTTCTATTGCTGTGATAAAAACACTATGATTAAGAGTAACTAGGGAAGGAAAGGGCTTATTTCAGCTAACAAGCATCAAGTCACCTTCCATCACCAAGGGAAGTCAGGCAGGAACTTACGGCACCAACTGAAGTAGAGGCTATGGAGGAGTGCTCTTACTGTCCTCCTTCTCATGGTTTTCTCCCTGCTTTTTTATACAACTCAGGACCACATGCCCAGAGTTAGCATCACCTGCTGTGAGCTGGGCCCACCATATCAATCAATAAAACAGAAACTGCCCCACAGGCAAATCTGGTAGGGAAAATTTCTCAATTAAGAATCCCTCTTCACATATGATTCTAGTTTATGTCAGGTTGATTAAAAAAACAACTAACCACAACATTGACTGATTCTTTTTCATAGTGTTCATTAAATAAGTATATACTATTTTCATCAAAATAATTGTTGGTTGGCATTTGAGTTGTTTTCAGTTGGGACTATTTATAAGCAATGCTAGTATCATACATATGTATATATTAGAGTACTTGTATGATATATATGTGAGAATGGAATCAGTAAGCCATAGGGTATGAATATCTTTACATTAAAGAGAGAACACTAAAATGTTTTCCTAAACAGTACTCCTTGGATAGCATAGTCATTCTACAGACTAATATGGATGTTTCTATTGCATTTTATTCTTGCCAGAAGTTATCAGTGACATTGCTTAGTTTAGAAACTAGAAACATTTCTTCCAGGTATGATTTGTTATCTTGGAGTTTGAATTTGCATTTCCTTGATGACTAATAGGATGCACATTTGATATTATGTTCACTGGTTCTGTGAGTTTTTTTTTTTTTTAATGTGTGTCTGTACATAAGACTTTTGTAGTTTTTCCATTTTTTTGTGGCTTAATGCCTATAAATTGTTTTCATAGCAATTCTTTGTCATACTTAGCTGTCTAACAAAAAAATCATGTTCCCTTCTATTTGGAATACTTTTTCCTGTTGTCTTATTTGTGCTATGTGATGGACAGAAGTTTCTACCTTAAGAGTATTCAAATTATCTTTCTTACGGTGTCTTTTGTGCTAGGTACAGAATCTTTTTCCTGAGGTTATGCAAATATTTTCCTCTACTGTGTTTTATTTGAAGATTTGTTATTTTTCACGTTTGGAATTCTGCTTTACTTGGAGATTTTTAAATGTGATATTTAGAGATCTTATTACAGCCGGCAAAACATTCTTTATTAAAAGTCCATCCTTTAT